AGAATCGGACGTTGGGGAGCGATATGAAAAAACAGATATCTGAGAGCCAGGGCTCGCCTGCAAAGACGCAGTCACTGAACCGACCCGTCGGGACCAGGAACAGTGGGTGGAGCATCAAGTCCGTGTTAGAAGTTCAGGGTCGTGTTTCGACGTGCTGTTTCTGTTTTGCCTTGGTTAAGTTAAGCCGAAGATGGGGGATGTGGATGTGGATGTGGATGGAGATGTGGATGTGGATGTGGATGTGGATGTGGATGTGGATGTGCATGTGCATGTGGATGTGCATGTGGGGAATGGGATGATTGTAGGCAGTTTACAGATGGCATGCCGGCAATGGCGAGACAGCTTGGTCGTCGTCGTCGTCGTCGTCGGAGAAAGTGTACTGTAATGGGGTCGAAGACCGAAATGTTCAGCATTATCAGGAAGAAACAGAGACATGGAAGTCGTTTCTCGGGAGTTGAAATATACCTTCAACTTATACCAAGTGTACGCGTACCTCGCAACTCCCGAATGTCAAACGCGGATAAGGTTCACCTTGACCTTGAAGTGAAGTCGAATTTAAGTTTACCGGCGCAAGTAGACCATCTCGTCGGTACCCGGTAGTCCAGTCAATGGACCCCAGGACCAAACTCTGACTGCGAATTTGGCGACTGGCTCGGTTTCCAATGCGAATGGTGCGGAGGATCGTCCGACAGCCCAAGCTCATACCTTTGTATTATGGCACGTGAGAGAACGTTTGGGAGCAACATTCAAGGTTTCGACGCCACAACTTTGGGGTGGTGTGACTTGTCACATTGGATGTGGCAAGGTGAGTCGAGACGAGAGGCTGCACAAGTAAATACCAGGCGCTTGGGAAACGTGCTCGCTCCTGTTCCACGGATGACGGCTGACCTAAGCACCCAAGTGATGCGGGTTGAATCTAGGCGAAACGGGACCAGGCGCGTTTTTTTACATATGTAGACCAAGTTTTGATGTAAAGCAAGTTTGTATGTGGACAAAGTTTTTATGTAGAGAAAGTCCTCACGTAGAGGAAGCTGTGAGACGGTGACCTGTTCAAACCACCTGCCTGTGGAGGAGAGGTGTGCTGTATATTATGGCAAGCGTGCTACTTTTTCGCTTCGATTTTAATGACTGTACAAACCTCTTTTACATGTTTCATCTTACAAGCCTTGTACGGTGGTGTAGTATACATATTCATTCACATCCAATACCTTAGACAGTAGGATTTGCTTCCTCTTCCTCTTCTCCCAATTTCATTTCGGGGTCTTGGGCGTCCGCTTCCCAATATTCCAGCCCCATCCTCGTAAGGTCTTCACAACCTTTGGAGTGATGGCTGCCGTTATGGGCACGCGGATAAAGATGAAGGATTTGTGGATGACATAGGCGAGGCCAAGCTGTGTCCAAATTGCTAGAGAGACATGTTAGCTAGTCGCCACCGAGCATTTTAGACAAGGTGTGTCATACTGGCATTTGCCCCACGATTCAACGCTTCGGCTTCTTTGATATCATCCCCCCACGCAATGTCGCCCTCTCGCTCTGTCGCATCCTCAAGTTCGGCTAGCACAGATGGTTCTCTCTCCCCAACTGGCTTCCGTAGATTGGGAAACGGGACAGACACAACGCTCCAGAATCCCTCTATGGCAACATGTTCCCAGTGCCCAATCCGATCCACACCCAGCGCCCGTACAGCTAAGAAGCAGAATGGGAAGTCGAGCGCCGTCAACGCCATGTATACGCCAAACGCCGACCACCCATATTCCCGTGATAGCTTCTTCAGTCGCTGTGAAAGAGAGAGGGCCTGTTCGGGGCTTCCAAGATGTGATGTGGGGTTTGGGTGCTGAGAGGGTTGTGCTTTGTCGCTCTTGAGACGGAGAGACCGGAAGCGGCGTGAGAGTAGGGATCGCTCAGCGCGGAAGAAGAGGATGGCATTTTTCTGGAGAGAGCTCGGAGGGAGCCGTGAAGGACCTGATAATAGCGTGTAAGTTGAGAAGCTGTTGCGCAAGGCCTGCGTTGTCTGGCGGGATTTGGATGCGGTACCCACGCTCCGGGAGAGCAGCTGTTGTGCGACTCGTGCGGCCATTGCACGGGTCGTGGAGAGGTGTGCTGGAATGAGTAGGCGGCGGAGACAAATTTGGTGTGAGCTGGGCGGTGTGGTTTCATCAATGGCACTTGCAAGTCTGTATGAAGGTGAACCACAGCGTAAGCACTGTAATAATGATTTTCCCGACCAAGTGCAGGGCTGCACGCGGCGTCGCGGCTTTGGCCGGTACAGCGGGACAAGTTCGGGCCGATAAGCGACAAATACTTTGTATCTTTTTTTCCAGTCGTCCCGAAGAACATTCTTTTGTGACACAAACGTGTCTCATCGCCCCTTTTGTTCACTAATAATTACTCCCGCTTCTAGAAGAATGGAAGTAGAAGCATCTGCGACGGATCCACTGACCTTGACTGAATCGCCGTCTTGAAACAGAGTTACCTTTATACTACTTTGTATGTACCTACTTACAGCAGCCTGAGGGTAATTATATTATCGCCGCCCGCTTCACACTCGGTTATCACTGAGGCCTTATTATATCGAAACAGGCTGTACGGCGCTTCTTCGAACCCTCTCCTTAATTCGTACTCGTACTCGTACTCGTATTACAGAGTAGCATAGCGAATCACCATGTGGTCGGCTGCCCGGTGCACCGCAAAGACTCCAAGAAACAAGCAAGCGATGTTTCCTCTCGCCCAATGTGCCCGGCATCATTTGACAACGTGGCGAACTTGTTTCATAACTTTATACAGTACGGTATCGCCAGTCTTGCATGGGAATGCATGTTTTGCTATTCATGGGCCATGGTTCCTGAGCGTTGTGCATGGACTTGGTCACACGTGGAAAGCTGATCCCCGCTACCGAGCATCAGCCATGTGTTGGCCAAGGGATCCGCAGAAAAAGTCTCGAAAAGTGCTTCATTCGGCGCCAGACGTGACAGAGGGAGCTACGCTGTCGACTTTTGGGCGTACCCTTGATAATTACTCCGTACAGGCAGGAGAAATTCCAGCGACCCATGGGGCGACAGTCTGCGTCAAGCCCTGGCAACGTAACAGTATTCTCTTTCCTCCTGGACAACGTGCAGGACGAACATGGCATGAACATGGCATAAGGCGTAACATATGCCTGCTACTTCATGCCATGGACAACCTGGGCTTTGTTTCGCAGGAACGTTGGTTATCGCGGCAACTGGTTGTGTGCTGGGCGTGGGCGTGGGCGTGGGCGTGGGCGTGGGCGCGGAGTGTGAGGTTCGAAAAGTACAACGTTCAAACTGTGAATGCTAAAATGCGGGGCAGCTTGCGTACTCGCCCACCGGGCCGATGGCTGACATGCCTGGTTATGCGAATGACTACTTGGGAACTGTACTCCGTATGTACTACGTACTCTCGGTCACGTTGTAAAACCAATTTTCAGAGCACATTATTACACATGAC